AAGATACGCAAAGCACTTATTAGACATTAGTCTAACACAATGATCTCACAAAACATCAACTCTTACACCACAGCAGGCTCCGATAGTGCTTATTGACACCTCATTATCTCAATCTTATTCCAATTTTAAAAAGCGTCAATGTGGAGCAGTATCCAGTTGTCCCCCATGCAATGTTGAATGCTCCTTACCTCAACTGGTGTAGTCTCTGGTACCTCTCTCAGAATAATGATGGAGCGACTGTGGTTTGGCCGAACCTTCTCTCCAGTTTCATCAACTTGCACCATGGGGGAGGCTATAACAAAGACATCATAAAGAGACCTGTTTTATCACCAACTGGAAAGCTGCTCATGTGTAGGATTTAGGATTATGTTTATTCCAGGTTTTATATTCAACCAAAAACAGTTATCAGCCTCACTGCTTCAAAACTGAAAAATCCCCCCCAAAATAAATAATATACGGTATATATATATATATTTTTAAAGGCAGCAGACAGTGCTTCAGGTTTAAACAAGATATTTCATAGTACATTAAATGACATCAGCCAACATAAGCTTTTAAACACTTCTAGCTGAAACAAATCTAAGAAAGACAGTGACATGTATTCTGTAAGTGAGCTAAAATTTCAGTGAATCTGCAAGCATTTCTCATAAATATAGGCAGTTACTGAATCACTTGTACCTCGCAGTATATCCAGAATGAGGTCCATGTCAGTGGTTAGAGCTTTGATGTCTTCCATGCAAGCAATGGTCCAGATGGGAACAAACTGATCGCTGTCCATCTGCGATATCAGGTACAGGTCCTTAGTCAGGTTCTCTCTGCAAATACCAAAACCCCGGATTAGAGAAAACCCCGAACAAAATGAATGAGCTCCCACTTTTCGGCCAACTTAGTAGTGATAAAGCTGGCAGAAAGAGTCCGCTCCTAACTTGATCTCAACATACACCACTTAAAGTAGTTTAAAACTGTCCTATCAACAGGGATGTTACCGATCCCTTCATTGCTTCAACTGTGAATTCAGACAGAAATTTGAAGTGTGATGCTGTCTATTACATTATAAATAACTGAAAGTTGTATTAATGTATGCACACATATGTATACATACACCAATCCAAATATAGAAAATAAAATCTATCCATTGTTTTGATTTTTTTTTTTTTTTTTACACTACACTACTCACCTAGAAAAGCAGAACTCAAGCCGTTTTTTCAATGACTCTCGTAGGCTCTCCTCAGACATTGGTTGTTCCACCAAAACATCACCATCCATTGCTGGATTGCATTGTGAGTCTAGGACTAAATAGCTCAGATCAGCATTGTCAATGCAATTCACAATGCCCTCTGCTGGTACATGGGCAAAGTCAGCAGTGCTGTCAGGATATTCAGTGTCATGTCCTTTTACCCCTGAGGAGGGGATGTCTGAGTCACCTAAGATAAGAAGGGAAAGCAGAAAGAAAACAATTGTTAAATAACAATCATATTTAGACAGCATCATCTAATGCTCTGAACAAGCATTTCTTGTATAAGCCTTGCTGCACAACACTAAGGACAAGAGCTTAGAGGTTGTCAAATACAAAGTATCAGTGATATTAAGTATCAGTAAACAAAAAAAAAAAAAAGTTGTATCAGTGTAGCAGGGACAGGGTCTGCTCTACATTATGCCTTGGGGAGGATATAATCCAAGACGTACACAGAAATTAAGCAACTCTTACCTCCAGTCATCTCAACAGGATGGGAGTCCGTCAACAGCAAAGGAGAGTCCTCTGTCACCTCTGGGATGTCACTCTGGTGGGCAGGGATCTCCTGCCACACTTTGGCATTGGGGTTCAAACCTGTTCCCTTGGTGGTTACCTGCATAGTTTTAAGAAAACGCTGAGTTACTGAATAGTAGTGTATGAACTTTACAGTTTGTTTGAAAAACAATAGTGAAACACAAAACAGCAAGAAAGCAGTGCATCAATCACAGTCCTGTTTTTAAAATGGTAGGACTATACACAATAAGATTTAAGAAGCAATTGGTATTTAATAGAGGAGAAAAATTATGTAGCATTAATTTGTAACTGTTCCAGTGGGCAGCCCACCCAGGTATACCTGTAGCTCTGGACCATTTTGTTGTGTGTCATGAAATCTTTACCTGACATTGATCTAGTGGCAGTGATGACAGACAAGCATTAAAATACAGAAGTAACTAATATTCTTCTGATGGTCTTGATTTATTTGAAATGTCACTTACAGAAATCAGTATTCATTTCAGTCTAGGTATGTACAAGATAAAAACGTACTACAGTTAAAACACTCATGATCTAGCTCGCTGGGTTTACAAGCCTTTAACTTCAGTCTCTTCAATTGCTTCCATTGGGTTTTTACATTATTCCAGGAGGGGAAATTAAGGTTTGAGAAACAGGCGTCTCACACACATACACACATGCACAAACAGGACCTATGAAAATGCATTAATGGAGACACGTCAAGAGCTTGTTTGCGTTTGGTGCCTTGCTCAAGGGCACCTGCCAGTACTCAGGCGGTGACCTGGCACCTCTGCAGCAACAACCAGACTTTCATAATTCCGCACCGGGACTTCACCCCGGTTCCCAACCAAAGTCCTTACAGAGTGAGCTGCTGTCACCTAACCCCGCCCGTCTAACGACCACATGTCTCCGTAAGAGGCGCAAGTCCGCCGTCGAGCCGCAGCATGACTAAAACAAGGCATTTTGACCTGCAAACCCTCGTGTGTGCCTCCGTATCGATCGATGCTTATCAATTAAAATGTATCAAAATCTTGTGCCTTTAGGTACAACCTTTCTGCCAACCATAATTCGGTCTTAATCCAGCGGCTGGGTTTGCAGTGAGCCCGAGCAGCGTCATTTTGGGGGTCGGGAATAAAGAGCACATGGCAAACTTAAATAATCATATATCGTTAGCCAAGTCCAATTCGATAGACAATTAAAGGGTGATTTTGGTTAATATCACATTAAATCGTTCTAGACATTATTTAATTGTGAAAGTTGACGTTTCCGTGGCGCTCTGCCATCATGACCTTTATCAAGGAACTCTTAGCCGGATGGCTACAGCTGTGTGAGGGCTAACACTTTGATCACGTGTAGTAGTTACAACCAGGCAGCGTTTTATATAGTTTTATTATCTTGAAAATGTTATTACAGCAATATGTTACAAACGTATCCAGGCCATTAAGCTTGTACGTGTTGGCTAAGTACTAAGGTTTAACGAGTCACTGTCTATCATGCTAAAACAAACGACTCCAGAAATACCTGCCTCAAGCTAACTAGCTTAAGTTTACTAGCGGACCAGTTAGAACCGGCCTCTCTTTACCATATCCTATTTGTTTTCATGCTTTAAAAAGAAAAAAAAAAGAGGTTCTCCAAAGCAACTCTCCGGGTGATTACAAAACTCGCAGTTCGGCGCATAAACGCCAACTAACAAGTGTATAAAGTTACCACAAACAGCGTGGTCAGGATTTCAAGACTGCAGGAGTCAAGCAGTGAGGAAGGACGCAAACAGGTTGCCGCATGTCGTGCCCCTTCCCAGGCCCCAAAAACTCACCATGCTGCCTCGATCCTCGCTTCTCAAGTCCCAGGAAATTTAAACGGACTGCAAGGTGAATCGTCCTGCGAATAAATTAACTCTAATGATATAGTAGCAGAAGTCGTGTCCTCTCGTTGGGTTTCTCCGCTGAACGACTGTCTCCACGGTAACGTAATTCTCAGACGGCCGAACGTGCTCCAACAACTAACCGTGTATGTTCCCGCGGACCACAATTTAAAAAACAAAAAAAATAAACGCCGTTTAATTTGTCACATTAGCGACTATTTCCTATTTGTCGAAATGTGCTCCTCTGCTCAAGTCCTCATTCCGCAGTTCAGCTTCGAGGCACCGCTCATCCAGCATGTGACAGCTGCGTCCTCTGTCTGTAACCGTCTGCTCTCCGCCTCCACGGCAACAACAACGCGACCAGCACAACGTAACAAGCAGCCACTGTGAGAGCTCTCCTAGGGGACACTTACAGGTCGACATTTCTTGACCTTTTTTTTTTTTTTTAAACACCTATGCACAAGCCATTGATCTCTTCCATAAACGATGTATTGTACAGCTCATTGCAGATAAACTGAGTGACTAGTTTCTGCACATTGTTAGGCATTATTCCCATACAGCGTGGATATGCAATGAAATGACCCCACGCATAATACACAGGGCCAATATAACCTGATAGGAAGCACCCAGGACAAGCTGTGACAACTTTTTACTTGTCTAACAGATTAAAAATGTGAATCAATACAATATTAAAACGGCGATATTTTTAATAGTTATTTATTCAGTTTTGTTCGTGTTGTTCTCAGCTAGTCATACCATTGATATTGTAGACTGTTAATTAAACATAACTACATTTTGGAAATTAGAAGTTTAAGTAAATAGTAGTCCCATATGTAATTTAAAAAAACATGCAATTTTATCAATATTTTTAAAAACGAACAGAACGAAATTCTGCTTAAATATCCTTGACATTTTGGTACTCATTCATGAAAACAGCTATTTAAAGATAATAAAGATAGATAAATAAAATAGTAGTGCATTGAAACCCCCTGGTAATGAACATACCATGTTAGAAACATGTTGGATTATAATCATGTATGCATTGAAGCCTTTTCACATCTAAAGTTAACCCGCACAGCTGATTACACTTCCTCACTGGAGTGTTTAAATGTGAACCGATTGGATGAATCCATTGGTTCCAATATCATTTTCATTATTCCCACCTGTAAACTCAATAACAAGAATTAGTTAGAGTTAATAGAGGTATATAGGTGGGAACTTTAGCTGATACAAAACCATTAAAGAGAAAACTTTAATTTTTTTTTTTTAAACAGACAAAAACCTCTTTTATTGTACAAACTAATTGAACACCCATTTAAATAAATTTAAAATTGAGAAATAACACCTGACTGGTTTACCATAACAACAGCCTTCTTATAAGTACTGGCAACAAGGTTTGAGTACTTTCTTCAGACAGAAACAAAAACATTCTTTATTCTTCAGCTTTTAACATGACGCTTTATATCAGTGAAGGGCATTTTTTGACCCACAGCAGCAGATGTACACAAACTTAAAATGCCCCTCTCCCAGTCATGAAGAATTCAAACAGGTGTTCCCCTTAAGCGTTGGTGGTCCCAACCGCTTGTGATGACTGCTGGCTCTGTTGAAGTTGTTGGATCTTCACATTCATGACTTCAACCACAGCTGCAAAACAGAGCACATTTGTTTAATATGCTTTCTGAACACAATGTAAGGTTACTGTTGATTTTTTTCTAAAACTGAATATTTGTTCCTATTTAAATTCTAAATATAGATTTCTATATCTAAAAGACAAATTCATTTGATTTCTTGTAATTTAATAGTCTCTCTAAATTGTAGAATTCTAATAATTATACACCCCACAGGGCAAAAAAAATAAAGAAGAGAGGTGACAACCAATTAGTCTGGTTCATGACAGTGGGTTGTTTAAGGCTGCACAGTAATGGGCAGTCAATAGCGTTTAAAAAAAATGTTTGTTTGGCCTCAATCATAATGTTGAAATACTCCACTTTCTGATCTCTTCCAGCATGTTTTACACGGGCATTTTCACCAGCAGACTGACTTCCTTCCTTATTGTAGCATGTTGTAATATAAACTGCAGGGTGTATGGTTAGCAGGGGAAGTGTTTTTTTGTATTGATAACCGAATATGGATGTGAATGTTCAAGAAAAAAGGTAGACATGCACATTTTAACCTTACTAATGATTATTTATTGCGGTATCGGTACATTTGTTATTACCATTTTAACATTTAGTATATTTTATCTTTTAATTGAGGTTCAACTTGCAGCATTTAAATATGTGGGTTTTGAAATTGAAATACATGATATTAACTGAAAAAGAGACTTAAGATATATAGATAAATGTAGTGACAGGGAGAGAATAATGCCGCACATCTTACCTTGTTTCATGGCATGTTTTTCCTGAAGGGCCGGCTGAATTTTCTCAACAATCTGCTTAGTGAGGAAGTCTATTTTGCGTTTGAAGAATGCCTTTGAGTCTTCAACGCTCTACAGAGACATGCGAAAATTAGTTTTTATAAAAATGTTTGACAATATTTAATCATGTATGGAGATTTAATGTAAATATATTTGCCTTTTCAACATAGTATCCGGTCCCCACATCAACTAAACAAGTCTCCACGTCATTTAACGATCCAGGAACGTACATCTGAGAAAAGGAATGTCAAGGATATAGGCATATCTCAAGAGAGACTTTTCATTTGAACCACATTAAAACAAAAATAGTAGAGCATGAAACACAGGTTGTTTTTGAGCTGTTGTAGGATACTGAGCTGGTAAGTGGCACAAGCAGTTCTTTTCCTGTATGAAAAAAAGAGAGAACAGTGGGTTTATCCAACATCAGTCCCATATTAGTATATGCTGGATGGTTTCACACGAAAATATACTGATGTGCCAATAATGCAAACTTTTACTCCTTAATTTGTGCATCACATCAAAGTACATTAAGCTCTTCTAAGACCTTTTTTACATTAGGGAAAAGGGAAACGTAATAATTGTTAAAATAATTTAAATAGGTTTTCTAAAACTTGGCAATAAAATAAGGATTTTACCCACCTTTGTTATTTTTGTTCAAGACGTTCAAGCTATCTTTTGCTTCAACATATGTGGTCTGAGCAACTTTAAGCTGACCTATTGAAGACGTCAGGAACTCTAGCTCCTGGAGAAAAAACAAAAATATATATATATAAATATATATCTGAATATGAAATGTTCACCTGAGCTACATGAATGCATCCATGGCCCAGAGAGGCATTACAAACATGAATGTAGTCGCTATCTACGCTTAGAGCAAATTTAGCAAGATTTGAATCTTAAAATGTACATTTCACACAGTTTTAATATTAAATGCTCAACATGAGACGTTTCTTTGCTTTGTATCAAGCGAGAGTATGAGACAGATGTTAGCGTCGGTATCGTTAGCATTGGGGGTGCTAGTGAGTAACCACACCCTGCTGAATTATTTTATTTTCGTCCAAATTAAATCATAGAACAAAAACTCGTCTAAAGCGACCCCACTATTTAACATTACCTGATCTAATTGAGTCTTAAGTCCCTCTAATTGAGGGAGGGAGAGCTCTGTGAGATTCACCGCCATGTTGAAAGCGTGATGCCGAGATGACCCTAGCAGACAGTGTTTCCGGGTGGTGGAGGTGGGCGGGGATCAGTCTGGAGATACGCCCTCTTGCGGCCACGACAGGAAAAGCACATGCAGCGGTCAGACCAGACCTGGACCAGACCCAATAGTTTCTATGGGTGAGACCTTCTCAACTGGAGACCTTCTTTTAAATGCTTCTTTTGAGCGCATCAGTGCCCCTTTTTAAAATAAATAATAATAAATTATGTTAAACTTGACTTTGTTGATTTGCATTGCATGTATTGTAAAAGTAATATAGGCATTACAGTCAATATTCATGCTGTGTGGAAGTTGTCGGCACATGCTGTGAATTTATCGTAATCCTCAAATGTGAAATTGAATAGAAACTTGTACTCCATTTGTGAATCAAAGTGAATACCCTTATACATACCTGTTAAAACTCCTTTTCAAGATTAAACTGGTACATAATGTGAAAAGATGCAAGTAAATGTCTTTTTACTATTAAACTAGTAAAGAGAAGTACAGATTTTTGTTTTCCAATCAAAATTGCCAACTTAAATTATCTAGAAATAAGGCGACAATTCAAATTCTAAAGGCAAACTTGGAGAAAAAAGTTTATTCGAAATATCTTTTTCTCTTTTGTTTGAGAAATTATGATTTGGAGTGACAATCTATTTGCATCTTAAATGACAGTGTGATGCACTATCTAATGAAAACAATCACATCAATATTGGCTCTAAGGGCCTTTAAAATCTAGCTGACCATGGACATTTCAATTATTTATTAATATAAAAACCTATAAAGAAAAATCAAATGTAATTATTGATATTCACTGAGTTAAGGCCCCTCCCACCTTGAAATAAGAATAAAGAGGCCAAGATTGGCATATATCTATAGGTTGTGTAAGATATTTAATAGTTTCTAATTATTAACTGATAATTATACAAATGATAATAACTTGTTAATTTTCAGAACATCTTACAATTACAATAAGTATCACTTTTTCACCCCACTTTTCAGTAAAATGAGACTAATGGACTGTATATGAAAAGACTTTTATTCACAACATGTTGTTAAATCAACATTTAAAAAATGCACTCAAGCATATACACATTAAAAATCATTCCCAATATAAAAACATTGGTTTAAAATGGAAACATTGGTATAAATTAAAGAAAAGTGACAAATTAATCCTGTCAAAAAAAATACTAGGATTAAATTTCAAGTTAAATACAAGTTGTCCAGGTTTTTGGCTGACACTATAACATTTAGATTCTTCAGGGATTGTTTATATCCTGTTTTTAGAAGACTCATGGCTTTTCAGACGATCTACTGCAGGTGGACTGGTAAGCCGTAGACCACAGGTGCAGCTCCAATGAGGTGTTTGAGGTGTGTGGCCTGACGTGATGGACCCATGTGAACCAGGAGGGGCGCTCCAGAGCCGGCAGAGAACCAGGACTCTAACAAAGCTTTTGTGAAGCGGTCGATGTCTCGATCCGTCACATCCCACAGGTTTCCCAAAACAAATGGGCTACGGTGGAAATAAAGTCAGGACAGGGAAAATTCAGGAAAATTTGTAGTGACCATTATAATCCAATAGTAATCCTTGTGCTGCTGTAATTGTCCCATTAAGACAACATACACAAGTATTAACAAGAATGCTAATGAAAGGAAGTAAAGAAAGATATCTCACCATCCTGCTATGAGGTAATTGAGGATGATGCCTTGTCCTTCCTGATCCCCTCGCACTGCCAGAGCGGCACTACTGCAGCCAAAGAGCAGAGCGGCTGCTCTCATCTGCCGTTTCAGGACCGCCTGGCTGTCCAGGAATCGCGCGCCTGCACCATGACCCACAAAACTAAAGCAGCCGAGGATGTGA